AAAGCAGAAAACCTGAATATAAATATCAAGAAAAATGGTGTCAGTTTTAATAACCCTCCAAAGAGTGATTCAGCAAAATAGTTGTACACAAGGAGGATGTACTCATCCTGAAATTTTAGGATTCCTTTAAACTAAGAGTTCATTTACTGATCCACATAACAGAAACCTGAATCCTTATTCTAAGTTTGCACAGCTCACCAAATGACAATAGCAGCCGGTTTAAAAGAAAATCCAGTCTCTGAAGTCCTTCCACCTTGTTCTCAGGGGCATGTTTCAAAGCAAGCACCATCATTACCTAAACTGAAGGCTCCTGCTGTCCCAGAAAATATCTTACCCACAGAGATTATTGTCAGTATTCCTATTGAGCCAACTCAGCCCTCTGACAAAAGACAGTCTCTTCATCAAAGTGTTTCGTAACAGCAAAGGGTTTTCTCCTCCTGTCTACACAAAAAAGCTTTACATGTTTCTAACAAGGTATGAATAGCAGACCAGAGTTTACTGAGGTTAGAATTTTCCAGCAATTTCAATTTAAAAAAGGATACCCTAGGAAACTTTGATACAAAGATTCAATCTATTTAGCTCATGGCTTCTACTACTAAAGGAAAACATTTTGTAGTTGTAAGAGTTTGAAAACAGGATCATTAAAAGTTGTTTTCCGGCCAGGTGCGGTGGTTCACGCCTGTAATCTCAGCACTTTGGGAGGCTGAGGCGGGTAGATCACAAGGTCAGGAGATCGAGACCATCCTGGCCAACATGGTGAAACCCCCATCTCTACTAAAAATACATAAATTAAATGGGTGTGGTGGCGCGTGCCTGTAATCCCAGCTACTTGGGAGGCTAAGGCAGGAGAATGGCTTGAACCTGGGAGGCGGAGACTGCAGTGAGCCGAGAGTGTGCCACTGCACTCCAGCCTGGGGACAGAGCGAGACTCCACCTCAAAAAAAAAAAAAAATTTCAGCAGTTCTCTCCAAATAAGCCTCACTCAGTAATAATGAGGATATTAAAAAATGGACAGATGCCTGCACATAAAATCCCACTAGACCTGCTGAATAATCTGTTTAACAGGACAGACCTGCTCCCAAACTTAATTCAGCAGCAAGGGTCTACTGAGGGCCTACAACGTACGAGGCGCTGTAGTGGGCACATCCCATGAGGCAGCACCTCCAGGCTTCTCTAGTGAACAGATTCCTGGAACATTCACTCTATGGGAGTAAGAATCCTGCCTATCCAAACATGTGGGGAGGCGCTGTGGCCCCAGTGCCTAGGCGAATACCTGGCAAAGAGCAGATAATACATTTTTGAGAAATGAACAAGTTTTAAAATCTGTTAAAAGTTTAGGAGTTAACATATAATTTAGCAAAACTGGGGAAAGAATACCCTTTTATTCACACTGTAGCCTTTATTCTTTGACAGGCCATATTCACAAGTTATAATTGTTGGAATTTCACATCTTCTATTCGTACTCTATATAGTTGGTTATGACATAGAGGGGTATGTCAAAGTCCACTGTGATAAGGTAGCAGCCCTTTGGAAAACACAGAAATGCAACTGGCAGTAAAGAGGTTCAGACCTCTGTGTGTGTGTATGTGTGTGTTTTTAGACAGAGTTTCGTTCTTACCATCCAGGCTGGAGTGCAATGGCATGATCTCAGCTCACTGCAACTCCGCCTCCCAGTTTCAAGCAATTCTCCTGCCTCAGCCTCCCGAGTAGCTAGGATTACAGGGGGCTGCCACCACGCCCAGCTAATTTTGTATTTTTAGTAGAGATGGAGTTTCACCATGTTGGCCAGACTGGTCTCGAACTCCTGGCCTCAGGTGATATGCCCGCCTCGGCCTCCCAAAGTGCTGGGATTACAGGCATGAGCCACTGCACCCAGCCCAGACCTGTGTGGGGTTTTTTTTTGTTTGTTTGTTGTTTTTTTTTTTTTGAGACGGAGTCTCGCTCTGTCCCCCAGGCTGGAGTGCAGTGGCGCGATCTCGGCTCACTGCAAGCTCCGCCTCCTGGGTTTACGCCATTCTCCTGCCTCAGCCTCCTGAGTAGCTGGGACTACAGGCGCCCGCCACCGCGCCCGGCTAATTTTTTGTATTTTTAGTAGAGACGGGGTTTCACCGTGGTCTCGATCTCCTGACCTTGTGATCCGCCCGCCTCGGCCTCCCAAAGTGCTGGGATTACAGGCGTGAGCCACCGCGCCCGGCCTGTGTGGTTTTTTTAATTTTTTTTTTTTTTTTTTTTTTTTTTTTTGAGACGGAGTCTCGCTCTGTCGCCGAGCCTGGAGTGCAGTGGTGCGATCTCGGCTTACTGCAAGCTCCACCTCCCGGGTTCACGCCATTCTCCTGCCTTAGCCTCCCAAGTAGCTGGGACTACAGGCGCCCACCACCATGCCCGGCTAATTTTTTATTTTTTGTATTTTTAGTAGAGACAGGGTTTCACCGTGTTAGCCAGGATGGTCTCGTTCTCCTGACCTCGTGATCCACCTGCCTCGGCCTCCCAAAGTGCTGGGATTACAGGCGTGAGCCACCGCGCCTGGCCAGACCTGTGTTTTTAACGTTAAACTTGAAGAGTTGATGACTTTATTTTGATCAGAGGTTAAAGAGAATTCCACCTGTAACCCTGACACGCTGCACTTGCTGCTTGATAGACTGAAGTGTTACAGCTGGTGGTTCCAAACAACCTCCAACAGTGGGAGAACGCAGCGTGGACTAAGGCACCTGATGGAAGAGAGCCATGAAAACACTTCTGTGATAGTGCTTCAGTGCAGTTCAACAAATACTAAAATCGAGCTTCCAGTATGTGCCAAGTATTATGCTAGATGCTGGAAATACCAGAAAAAAGAACCTGCCCCCTCTATATCCTTAAGGATTTATGCTTCTTAAATTTTTTTTTTTTTTTTTAAGACAGAGTCTCGTGTCGCCCAGGCTGGAGTGCCGCGGCGCCATCTTGGCTCACTGCAACCTCCGCCTTCTATATTCAAGCAATTCTCCTGCCTCAGTCTCCTGAGTAGCTGGGATTACAGGCACATGCTAATTATAGGCACGCCTGGCTAATTTTTGTATTTTTAGTAGAGACGGGGTTTCACCTTGTTGGTCAGGCTGGGCTCAAACTCCTGATCTTGTGATCCACCCGCCGCGGCCTCCCAAAGTGTTGGGATTACAGGCGTGAGCCACCGCACCCGGCCTATGCTTCTTAAATACAGGAAAGAAAAATATTTAGTTGTGATGATACAAATTAAATTATAGGGAAATACTGCAATGGCACAGTGGTTGCCTCACAAATCCTGGAGAAACTATCAAACTAGGCCATCAATCCCTATGGGGAAATCTGAAAACAGGTTTGTTAAAATGTATGAGAAATGTGTCCTTTGGACATAAAGATGATGCCACCAAACACTGCACTGCAACCACTAAGCAGCTTGGACTCTATAAGCGTAATAAAGGTGAATTACTTTGGTTAAAGTGATTGCATGTTAATTTAAGAAATTATCTTCCTCCAAAAGAGGTGCTCATTTTATTTTCCTTTTCTGAGTTACTCAAGTCTACACAGTTTCCTTCTGCCATGTTCAGTGGTTAGCATGAACAAGCATCTGCCATGTTCAGTGGTTAGCATGAACAAGCATCTGCCATGTTCAGTGGTTAGCATGAACAAGCATCAGCATCATTCAATATTTAACTAAATGAGATGTTAATTTTCACTGCAAGATTAGAGCTGAAAACATTTACATAGAATTGCAGAAACCAAAGATGCCGGGAAAAATTCCTGAGGATTATTCACAGTGTTCAGTATAGCGGTTAAGAATGTTTGCTCTCGAGTCTTAAGGGGAACCCTAGCACTCCCCAACATTATCACCTCTATTGTGTTACTGGGAGATAAATGAGCAACTCTGTTATGGGCCTATCAGTGTTAGGCACATCAAAAGTGTTCCCCAATTGCTAGCTCCTGCTATTAGTATAAAAAAAAGTGGGGCCCCACTGGCCCCAAAGTGTTGGCTGCTCTATGATTGTTCTCTGGAGACACCATCGGCAGGCCTATTTCTAAGTGAAAGCTGGCATGCAAACTGAAGAAAAGTGGCAGAGGTAGAAGCGCTCTTCTGTCATTTCAACTGGCATCTGGTGAACTATGCGTAACAGCTTAATTCCCAACTGAAAAAAAACTGTTAACTAGGATGGTAAGGAAGGGATGGGGGTTTGAGGAGTGACTACAACTCCTCCTTTTGAGTGTGTGGGTTCAAAAAACCACTCCCTCCCCCACTTAGCTTTAGGCAAGCCACTCAACCGTTTCAACCTCCGCTTTCCTCATCTGGAAAATGGGATAACAAAAGTTACTCTCAGTGTAATTGGATTGTTTGTACCTCAATGGATAAATGCTGGAAGGGATGGACGCCCCGTTCTCCATCACGTGCTTATTTCACACTGCGTGCCTGTATCCAAACATCTCACGTACCCCATAAATAGATACACCTACTATGTACCCTCAAAATTAATCAATTTTTTAAAAGTTACTGTCTCCTAGAGTTACGGCGCAGAGCGCACAGCTCCCGCTACATCGCAAAACCACTACCACCTGCAGCAGCCGGCCCTCCGTGCTGGCCAAGAAAGGCGCTGGGCTACACAGCCTGCGAGGGGGCGGCTTCTCGGGCTCTGCCACTTACTGCGGGACACACTGGCTCACCCGGTCTGCCTCGGAGGAATGCAGTGAGGATTAAACTAGCTAATCCACGGAAAGCGCTTAAAACGGTGCCTGGCGCGTCCCTGGCCCCCATGCGCCTCGGGGCTGATATTCAACTGCGCATTAGCAGGGCCGTGGGCCCCGCGCCGAGGCTTCCTGCGGGCGGGATCCACGGGCACGGCCGGCCCCGCCGCCAGGTGAGCCCGAGCCCTTCCCGGCACCTGCATCCTCAGCCGCCAGAAAAAGCAACTTTTTAACAGTTTCGCAGCGGGGGCCTCCCGGGCCAGGCCGCCGCCGCCGCCGCCGCCCGCCCGCCCGCGGGGCGCCCCCGCCCTCACCTTGCTGGAGGTCCTGGTGGTCGTACCACGGCTCGTCCTCCTTCATTTCAAACTCCTCCACCAGGTTTTCCGCCAGCATCTCGGCTGGGTCCTCTAGGGGCAACGGTCCCCGCCGCCGCCGTCCCGCCTCAGCCGCTGCCCCGGGCTCTTCCCCGGCCCCTCCGCCCTCAGCCAGAGCCGCCCTCGGGCGGGACGCGCCGCCGCCCAGGCTCCGCCGCGCCGCCTCAGCCCCGTTCCCGCCGGCGACCGCCGCCGACCGGCCGGCTGCTTCGACTCGCCTAGCGCCTCCCAACGGCCCCAACGGCCGGGCGTTACGGCGCGAACGTAGGGAGCCAGGTTCTCACGCTGCCGCCGGTCTTCACGCCGCCGCCGGGCCCAACGTGGCACTTTGGCAGAACCCTCCCCGGCCGGGGATGCGATTCAAACCCCCGGCGGCTTCTCAACCAATCGCGAGCGGGCCGCTGGCCGAGCGACAGGGACTTCGTCCAATCGCGTCTCTCCAAAGACCCGCGGCTCGCCCGGTTTCGAGGCCAAGCAGCCAATGACGGGCCCCGAATAAACAAAGAAGGCGGGGAAACAGTGAAGGGGTGCGGCCGAAAGCCCGCCCCCTGATCTGCGCTGTGCGGCTCCTAGGAGCGCGTACTAGGTTCCGGGCTGTGGAGCTGGCGGAGGCGTGTCCTGCCGCTTTGGTGGGTGTCCCGAGGCCAGCGCGTCCGTGGACAGGCAGCGCAGGCCGGAGGGCCTAGGACTTCGGCCTCTGAGAGGCGGGCGGTTGTCGAGAGGCGTCCTTCGTGCCGGCGGGAAGCGCGAGGGTGCCGGAAGCCGGAGGTCCGCCGCCCGGCTGCCGCTTCTCGCATGTTGACTCTGAGATTTGCTCCGGGTCCGGCAAGGAGACTCGGAGTCGATCGGGAGTTTAGGGCTGAGAAAACGCCCACTGAGCGGTAGCTCTTGTCTCGTTGACATCTGAGCTCTGGGAATTACGCTCCCTAAAACGGTGGGCGCCAGACCCCGTTGAGAATCTGGGGCAGTGAGGGATGCCCGAAGCTGTCCACTTGGAGGGGGAAAATTGTAAGCAGGGTTGCAACGATTTTTAAAAGGTACCTCTAGACCACAAGTTAAGCATCTGGGGACGTGGCATTGCACCTGGAGGGGTCAGGCTGCAGCCCCAGCACTTAGTAGCCAGCAAGGCAGAGCACGCTGTCCTCCACCGACATAACCCAGCAAATACTGCTCATGAGTAAAGCTTTTAGCACCATCTTACAGACAAAGCACGGAAACTCTTAAGCAGGATGACAGACCTGAAGGTCAATGTTCTCAACCTTGACGTAAAGGTAAAATTGCAGCTGATGGAAGACAGCAGGGCCAATATCTAGCAAACTTTGAGCAACGAAACAAAAAAATCGAGGTTTAAGTATATAATTGAAAGATTATCTCTAGAACATAAGGTAATAAACTGTTAGAAATTCGGAAAGAGGGAAGAGGTGGAGAGGAGTGTTAGTTAAATCCTGATCTATTTTAGCAGTGAGTCGACAGATAATACCTTACATTGATAATCCAATAAATCGTTTCCACAAATATGGAGAGAGCTGCCAGAACTAAAAATGGGAAGCAGTTAAGAGTTTTCCGAGGCCGGACGCGGTGGCTCACGCCTGTAATTTAGCATTTTGGAAGACCGAGGCGGGCGGATCACCTGAGGTCGGGAGTTCGAGACCAGCCTGACCAACTTGGAGAACCCCCCATCTCTACTAAAAATACAAAATTAGCCAGGCATGGTGGCGCATGCCTGTAATCCCAACTACTTGGAAGGCTGAGGCAGGAGAATTGCTTGAAACCCGGGAGGCGGAGGTTGCAGTGAGCCAAGATCGCACCGTTGCACTCCAGCCTGGGCAAAAGGAGCGAAACTCCGTCTGAAAAAAAAAAAAAAAAAAGTTTTCCTAAGAGGAGGTGTGAGTTGAGGCTGGGGACTTTGGCTTTTTGTTATAAACCCTTCTGTGATCTTGCTTTTTAAGCACATGCACGTTAAAAATAAGGGAAATTATAGGGAAGGAATTATAGACTCAAGCTACTTTTGTCTTTCTGTATAAAACAAAAAGGACTTGGGTAATTTGAAGAGGGGAAAAACTCATCCTAAATAATTGTTGTGGGTAATAAAATTCAGGGTGTCTCTCTACCTCCCATCTTTGCTCAAATCAGTGTACCCTAACCTCATGCTGATGCTGTATCAAACAGCAGTTGACTCCAGGGTTACCTTATAGCATAGGCTGTAGGCTACTCTGGAGAAATCTTGCCAAGGATGAGACCTCCCACTGTGGAGTTGTTGCCTGAAGTTTTACCCTTCAGTCCTTAAAGGAGACTGCTGAATAGAGTGGAAAGCACAAGGGACCTAGAGTGAGAAAACCTAGAGTTCTCGCCATACTCAGTACCAGCAGAGAAGCCTTTTGGCAAAGAGTTTACAGGAAAGATGATTGTTTGCCTTGCTCACAGAGCTATCTGAATCAAAGAGAGACCCCGAAAGCAAGTCTTTTGTGCTCATTTTAAATGTAAGACTGTGTGCTTGTGACCTATACTGTAAAAGTGCAAGTACCCTTGAGGACCAATTATGAGCACCACAATAAATAATCATAGGAATGGATTATAACCCATTGAATAAAAGAAGAAAGAATCCGTGAGTCCATACTGATTTAAATAAATGGGAGAGAAAAGAAAGCTCTTTCTTACAGTAGGATGCCAAGCAAAAAATGTAGAAGGAAAAACACTGTTAGGGAGTAATAATAATAATAAAAGAGGAATGGTAAACTCACAAATCCCTTTCTTCAAAAAGGCAAAATGTTACTGGCGCACCTGTAGTCCCAGCTACTTGGGAGGCTGAGGTGGGAGAATTGCTTGCGCCCAGGAGTTCGAAGTTATGATGAGCTATGATAGGTGACAGCAGAGCAAGACCCTGTCTCAAAAAAAAAAAAAAAAAAAAAAAGGCTGGGTGCAGTGGCTCCTGCCTGTAATCCCAGCTCTTTGGGAAGCCAAGGCGGGCGAATCACCTGAGGTTGGGAGTTTAAGACTAGCCTGGCCAATAAGGTGGCCAGTCTCTACTAAAAATACAAAAATTAGCCAGGAGTGGTGGTGCAAGCCTGTAATCCCAGCTACAAGGAAGGCCAAGGCACAAGAATCCCTGGAACCTCAGAGGCAGAGGTTGCAGTGATCAGAGCCCGTGACACTATACTCCAGCCTGGGCAATAGAGTGAGACTCTGTCTCAAACAAAAAAAAAAAAAAAAAAGAAAGAAAAAGAAAAAAGAAAGTGAGGTCCCCTGTAAAGCCTCTTCTACTGCCCTAGTTGTCCATATTCAGATCGAGATATTCAGAGTTCAAATAAGATCACTTAAACTATCTTAATCACTACAGATAGAGTCCTTTGGAAAGAGAGCAAGTTGGGTTTAGGAATTGCCAATGTGATTTGTGGAAGCTAACGGGGCTAGGGCTAGAATCATGCCCCTGCATGATTATTATTATCATTATTATTATTTTAAAGTCTCACGCTTGTCTCCCAGGCTGGAGTGCAATCGCGTGATCTTGGCTCGCTGCAACCTCTGCCTCCCGGATTCAAGCAGTTCTCCTGCCTCAGCCTCCCAAGTAGCTGGGATTACAGGCGCCCACCACCACACCCGGCTGATTTTTGTATTTTTAGTAGAGACAGGGTTTTACCACGTTGGCCAGGCTGGATTTGAACCCCTGACCTCAGGCGATCCACCTACCTTGGCCTCCCAAAGTGCTGGGATTACAGGCGTGAGCCACCGTGTCCCGGCCCCCTGCTTGATTCTTATCACTCAGCTGCAAGGTTGAAAGTTCTGGCTGTTTACTCCATGGAAAACAAGCTCATTTTAACTTCAAATGCATATTGAAATATTCTTTAACAATTCTCCATTTTTTTTCTTTTTCAGAGTCTCACCATGTGGCCCAGGCTGGAGTGCAGTGGCACCATCTCTGCTCACTGTCACCTCCACCTCCTGGGTTCAAGTGATTCTCGTGCCTCAGCCTCCTGAGTAGCTGGAATTACAGGCATGTGCCACCACATTCAGCTAATTTTTGTGTTTTTAGTAGAGTCAGGGTTTAGCCATGTTGGCCAGGCTGGTCTGAAATTCCTGGCCTCAAGTGATCCGCCTGCCTCAGCCTTCCAAAATGCTGGGATTACAGGCGTGAGTCACTGCGCCCAGTGAACAATTCTCCTTTAAAAATGAAAAGAAAAGAAAGATACGGAGAATTAAAGTTATTGAGGGCCAGGCGAGGTGGCTCACACCTGTCATCTCAGCACTTTGAGAGGCCTAGGTGGGCAGATCACGAGGTCAGGAGTTTGAGACCAGCCTGGCCAACATGATGAAACCCCATCTCTAGTAAAAATACAAAAATTAGCTGGACGTGGTGGCTCACGCCTGGAATCCCAGCTACTCGGGAGGCCGAGGCAGGAGTATCACTTGAACCTGGGAGGCAGAGGTTGCAGTGAGCTGATATCATGCCACTACACTGCAGCCTGGGCAACAGAGTGAGACTTCCTCTCGAAAAAAATAAATAAGTAAATAAATAAAGTTATCGATAGTTTAAAAAAGCAAAAAACCCCACAAACTTTATGTCTTTTGGTATGTTATTGGGTTCTTTTAAAGGACACTATTTAAGAAAACTTCTTTTCCCCTGGAAAATCTTGAACGAAAATTGCATTGAAAAACTGGTGTCAATTTTCAGTGCTAAATTTGGAGGAGTTTCCATTGTTCTTTTAGAGTCTCCTTAGTCATAGTTTAGAAGCAATCATAAGTAACCTCTTCAGCAACATTAATATTATTTGGTTTGATAGGTTAGTAAATAACTACCCAAGTTGATTCCAAAAGGAGAATTTATGGTGTTCATAATAATTCACCGTTATTTAATGAACTTGCCCAGCCTAACTAACCATTGCACCATTTTGCTACTATTTAAGTCTTTTTGTTTGTTTGTTTGTTTGTTTGTTTTTGAGACAAGATCTCACTCTGTCACCCAGGCTGGAGTACAGTGGCGCTATCACAGCTCACTGAAGCTTCAACCTTCCAGGGCTCAGGTGATCCTCTACCTCAGCCTCCCTAGTAGCTGGGACTACAGGCATGTGCTACCACACCTGGCTAATTTTTGTATTC